TAATTAACTCTTATAGTTTATATATATTTTTCCCAACGTCTGTTAATCGGATTCTTTTTTTTTTTCGGGTGTAATCTGTTAATCGGATTCTTATACATTAAAGACATACTTTATATGTAGTATATTCTCCACAATAATTATATTAAAAATATAGATCGATGTTTTCAATTTGAGAAAATGGAAACATATATATTTTTTTGTCAGTTTAAAAGTCCAAACGCGCGACCGACCAACACGCATTTTAACGTTCTCGGATCCGTAAAATAGTAAGAACGTGAAGGGTATTTTCGTCAATTAAATATTATAAAAATTCCACGATCCCTTCTTCTCCAAGAGCCTTGGTGCTGAGTTTTCTTTGCTTTTGAAGACTCCTTTGAATTTATTCTTTCTCTTCTTCCTCCGCACATTTCTCCCCAAATTTTCTAGGGATTTGCTCATTTTAGCAATCTTCACACATTCAGAGGTAATTCCCCAGAATCGCGCACGTCCCTTTTCCATGATTGTTGTTGCATGGTCATCATTTTGCTTCACTTCACTGGATCCTCGAGCTTGCTGTGTAGTTGATTTTATTAGATTTTCCTTCACTTCCCTATGTTCGATATCAATTTCAGAATCGAGATTTTGCTTTCTAATGTTTGTTCTGGCGCTTTATCATTCTCTGATCTGGATCTGTGGTTTTGAGCTTCATTAAGTCGCTAATTTTGATGATTTGACTACTTTACTTGGTGTTGGTGAGATACGTTTAAGGTTTGGGTTTAGTTAGATCTTGTGATTCGATACACAAATCTCGATCTTGGATATTGTATATCTCCATCATTACCGGCAGATCGGAGAATTCTATCGAAATTTGTGAGAGAACCACTCTATTTGTGTGATAATCTGTACTCAATTTGTTTTGTCCTTGTTTTCAAATCCAGGGAATTTTGTTTTCTCATGGCTTCATACACACCTAAGAACATTCTAATCACTGGAGCAGCTGGTTTCATTGCTTCACATGTCGCCAACAGACTCATCCGGACCTATCCGGATTACAAAATTGTTGTCCTGGACAAGCTTGACTACTGTTCGAATCTGAAGAATCTCAATCCGTCGAAACAATCGCCTAATTTCAAGTTCGTCAAGGGTGATATCGCCAGTGCGGATCTTGTTAACTACCTTCTCATCACTGAAGGCATTGACACCATCATGCATTTCGCAGCTCAGACTCATGTGGACAACTCGTTTGGTAACAGTTTCGAGTTTACCAAGAACAATATCTATGGTACACATGTTCTTCTCGAGGCTTGCAAAGTGACTGGTCAGATTAGGAGATTCATTCATGTGAGTACTGATGAGGTCTATGGCGAGACCGATGAGGATGCAGTTGTTGGTAACCATGAAGCTTCTCAGCTTCTACCAACGAATCCTTACTCTGCAACAAAAGCTGGAGCTGAGATGCTTGTTATGGCGTATGGGAGATCGTATGGGCTTCCTGTTATAACGACACGTGGTAACAATGTCTATGGGCCCAACCAGTTTCCAGAGAAGCTGATTCCTAAGTTCATTCTGCTGGCAATGCAGGGGAAAGTTCTTCCCATTCATGGGGATGGCTCAAATGTTCGTAGTTACCTTTACTGCGAAGATGTTGCTGAGGCGTTTGAGGTTATTCTTCACAAGGGAGAAGTAGGCCATGTTTACAATATTGGTACCAAGAAAGAGAGGAGAGTGAATGATGTTGCACAAGACATCTGCAAACTCTTCAACATGGACCCTGAGGCAAACATCAAGTTTGTGGAGAACAGACCTTTTAATGACCAGAGGTACTTCCTCGATGATGAGAAGCTTAAGATCTTGGGATGGTCAGAGAGGACCACCTGGGAAGAAGGGTTGAAGAAGACAATGGAATGGTACACGCAGAACCCGGATTGGTGGGGCGATGTTTCTGGAGCATTGCTTCCCCACCCGAGGATGCTTGTGATGCCTGGTGGGAGACACACTGATGGGTCCGAAGAGAACTCTGGAGCAGTCACTTTATCTGGAAAATCAAGTCAGAGCCAGATGGTGGTTCCGACACCTAGAAGCACTGGCTCCACTCAAAACCCTTCACTGAAATTCTTGATATATGGTAAGACAGGATGGATTGGGGGTTTGCTTGGACAGATTTGTGAGAAGCAGGGAATTACTTTCGAGTATGGGAAAGGGCGGCTTGAGGATCGATCATCCCTCTTGCAAGATATTCTGAATGTGAAGCCTACACATGTCTTCAATGCTGCTGGTGTGACAGGGAGACCTAATGTTGACTGGTGCGAGTCTCACAAAACAGAGACAATCCGTGCCAATGTAGCAGGCACTTTGACTCTGGCTGATGTCTGCAGAGAGCACAGCCTCCTGCTGATGAACTTTGCTACTGGTTGTATATTCGAATACGATGAAAACCATCCGCTAGGCTCAGGCATTGGCTTCAAAGAAGAAGACACACCCAACTTCACTGGTTCTTTCTACTCGAAAACTAAAGCCATGGTAAAATTTCATGATTTCATCTACACTATAAGGATTAATGTTTACTTAGATATGCTTATTTTCTTAAAATGATGTTGTTGTGAGCCATCATAGGTCGAGGAGCTGCTTAAGGAGTTTGATAATGTATGCACTCTAAGGGTTAGGATGCCTATTTCCTCTGATCTAAACAACCCGAGAAACTTCATCACCAAGATTTCCCGGTACAACAAAGTAGTGAACATCCCAAACAGTATGACCGTGCTGGACGAGCTTCTTCCAATCTCGATAGAGATGGCGAAAAGAAACCTGAAAGGGATTTGGAACTTCACAAACCCTGGTGTTGTGAGTCACAATGAGGTCCTGGACATGTACAGAGACTACATCGATTCAGACTTCAAATATGCAAACTTCACATTAGAGGAACAAGCTAAGGTCATCGTGGCTCCTAGAAGCAACAACGAGATGGACGCATCTAAGCTCAAGAAAGAGTTCCCTGAATTACTCTCAATCAAGGAGTCTCTGATCAAATATGCCTTCGAGCCCAACAAGAGAACTTGAGGTAAAATATAAACTTATCTCAGTTTTGTTTAAACTGGTTTGTGATTAGTTTTCTCCCCTGAGTCTTAAACCAAAAGCAACTCTAGCTTTGCCTTTAGGTTTATCCATTATGGGGTATATCTAGTTTGGATTCTTATA